CTAGACACTCGAAAATTTATAATTTATATTTAACAGCTATGATAATTATCAGTATGTTTATTATTGTAAGTAAATTAAATTATTTTTAAAAATACTAATAATATTCATTAATAATTAATTAATTTAATTAATAATATAATATCGTATTTATAGCAATTACCCGACAGTATGATCGGTATATTGTTGCCAGATTTGGCCCATATTTACGGTACAAACATATCGGGTATATCCGATATCATATCCATTGCTACCAGTATTGCCATATTGGGATTCATATGTAATTATTTAATAAAATTATTATTTTTATTATTATTATCAAATTAATAAAAATTTAACTTTCAATTTTACACTTTATTGTTATATCATATATATATATATATAGTAAAAAACTAATTTATATTTTTATAGCTATAGTATAATAATTATACTATAATTTAAACATTTTTTTTAAATAATTATTTTTAAATTACTTGTTTTTATTAATAATTTTATATTTTTTAATTTTAAAGGCAATATACTATCCCGTTATTTCAATAAACAACTAGTCTATGCCTTATTAATGATATTGAGAGGCATAGCCGTAGCATTGATGGCCAGTTTACCGTCGCTAACCTATTTTACCGTTGACTTTACCGTCTATATGGCCGTAACCATTGGCCAGACAACTATGGCCAATGTATTTATCATAGACATTTGGGAGGCTAACTGTGCGCCCTATGTTATGGCATTGAACCTGATCTATGGTTTGGCATTGGTTCTGGGTCCATTAATCGTACAACCGTTTCTATCAAATGTTGATTGGTCAATTATCAATAGACATTATCATCAAGGTGATAATGCTACTACTACTAGTAGTAGTATTACTAATAATAATAATAATAACCATGATCAAATAGTTATGAAAACTTATTTACCCCTGATAATTTTCGGTGCTATCAGTGTCGGTATTAGCTTGGTAATTGTACTAGCTTATCTAATTAGACCTTATCAAGGTAGACAATTATTGAATCATGATCAAGTTGATAATAAACATGAAAATAATAATAATAATAATACAAATAGAAAAAATATAATTTTAATCAAACTAGCTGATTGTCTAGGTCAAATTAGAATGGAACTAATGCCCAGCAAATTGATCATGGTAATTAATCTATTATTTACGTTGACCTACTATCTGGTAGTAGTAGCATCTAGTTGTTTTGTTACCTACTATCCCACTTATGCCCGTACCTATGGCCAATCAATTGATCAGCACCTGTCAACCTATATGGTTATGGTAGCCAACATATGTACCGTTGGTAGTCTACTAGTTTGTATGCTATTGGCCAACTACCTGTCCAGTCAATTACAACTATCCGTGATGCTTGTACTATCATCCGTGGCCAGTATAGTACTATGGTTTGGTAATCTACCTGTCCAGCTATGGTCGGCAACTGTATTGTACGGTATAAGTGTATGTCCTATATCGGCCGTTATCTATAACTATTGGGAATCAATATCATCGGTAACCGATTGGGTTGGTATAGTTGTACTGGTAGCTACCAATATGGGTATCCTAACGGCTAATAAACTAGTTGGCAATCGGGTAGAAACCCGGCCCCGATTGTTTCACTATATAATGCTTGGGTTAGCCGTGGTTATATTTTTGTTGATTATGCTGGTTGCATTTTTGAATACAAAATTACCTAGACAAGCTAAAATTAATGATACTAATAATAAAAATAAAAATAATAATAATCATAATAATGCTGATGTTTGTAAAGTTAATAGCAATATTAAATTGTAACTTTTTTAAAAAAAAAATTATTTATTAATACTAAAAATTATAAAGTTTTTAAAGTTTGTTTAATTATAAAATAATTTAGTATACTATTAATTAGCAACTATTATTATTATTATTATAATTATTATTATTTATATAAATTAATTTATATGTATATTTTTTTTTACTTATTAATTAAAAACTTAGTAAATATTTTTTATATTATGGAAAATTAATTAATATATTATTATTAATTAATTTTAATCTATATATAGTTTTTTTATTACTATCATTATTATTGTTATTGAAAATTTATTTGTTTATTTAACACTAGCAATCAACCTGGCGTGCGTTTCGGGTAATTTTATAGTTAAATTGTAATAACTTTTTAATTATATGAATTAGATTGTAAATATTTTAGGAATGCTCCATTCATTATATGCCACTAAAGATAAACAAGTTAGATTTTAATATAATATAATGGTCAATTGGTCATATAGGGTCAAAGTTTGCACTCATACTAAACGGGACAACGATTATCTTTTTGTAACTAAAAATATGCTAACATATTTAGTATAATTCAACTCAGTGTCTCAGTAAAGTTAATCTTCAATGCATTACATGCTCCTAAATGTTGGCTTCGTAAATGAGTTTGTCTACTATGTCATTACTATGTCATTACTATGTCATTACTGATCATGCTCACTAATTATTTATTGTTATAATAAAATTTTATTTCACTTAGTAATTGAAATACATGGCTTGCAGTATAAAAAATGTTAACATTTGTTATACAGCAATCCATGTACATGTTTATACACTAGTTTGTTGTTTACCTCTGATAAAAAGCTAACCATAAAGCAATGAGAGTTACAACAATGGAGTCCAATGATATTGAAAATTATTTAACTATATTTACATGTATTGTTATTGTAATTAATTTAATTTTTCCATTGATTGTCATTCATATTCAAAATAAAAGAATTGATAAGTTAAGAAAATATATTGATTTATTAAATCAATCACAATTTAAATATGATGATTCAAAGAAAATGTTTACTATTGACAATCCAATGTAAAATACAGTAATTGTTGTATAATAATAATTATAAATTTATTATTATAAAATGCAAAAATTTATTATTTTTTGTTTTATCTATTTAATGTGTTATATGATTTTTATTTTTAATTTCATTATTTGTTTTATGATTTATGAAAAACTGTGTGATAAATATAAACAAGATGTTGATAATTGTTCACTACAAGTTAATACATCAATGAATGATATAGAAAATCCTTATGATGAATACAATAGAGAATTATTTTTGTTAGATTCAGACAATAATAGCAAAATTTTTATAATATAACGTTACTTGTGTTCAACAATTAAAAAATGTATTACAGTTCAACAATAGTTAACCATTTTTGTACTGTAATACACTTACGAAACATGTGATAAACATTTCATATAGAAAATCAATGAAAACATTTTTATACAATTATTATTATATAGCAGTACACGTAGTTGCAGTGCTTTGTAGTGTTTGTGTTTTAGGACAACAGTTGTTTGTGATGACACACATTAGACTAAACCTATAATACATGTATTATATTATAACACATACGTATTGATGTAGAAGTAGTGACATTGCATTGAAAACCACAGCAATGTTTCAACATTAATAATATTTGATTACTAAATTAAGTTTTGTTTACAATCTATAATTGTTTAATTGATAATTTAAAAATACTATGTATTTATCTTATAATAATAATTATTTTAAAACTGTATAAAAATTAATTAAAAAATATTTAATTATTTAAGTGTATTGCATTATAAATTATGTTAACATAAGTTATAATGCAATACACTTATAAAATGAATTTGTTAATCAAAACTATTGTAAATTATAATCAAAACTATTGTAAATTATAATCAAAACTATTGTAAATTATAATCAAAACTATTGTAAATTATAATCAAAACTATTGTAAATTATAATCAAAACTATTGTAAATTATAATCAAAACTATTGTAAATTATAATCAAAACTATTGTAAATTATAATCAAAACTATTGTAAATTATAATCAAAACTATTGTAAATTATAATAGTAAATTAAGTTTGTATTTATATGTATTAAATTAATACAATATCTTTTTTGTATTGTACAATATGTATACAAGTTTCAAAAATAAGGTATAAAATGTAATAAATTAGATAATAAACAAGTAAAGAATTTTTATTTCAAATATTATAATACAGTTATTTATCACTTTTCATATAATGTGCACATTCTAACGCATGCGTATAGTATGTCTCTTTATAGACAACTGTTAACTTTATGTAGTATTTTCATATTACGCCTATAAGCTTTCTTTTTTACAATGCTATTTTTTCGGACACGTAGTAGCATTAATGTAACATTTAACATCCTTCACTCTAAGTGTTAATATATGATTAATAAATACATAACAAAAAAAAACAATAAACAAACTAATTGTTTATAAAAATATATACTAATAAACAGTTATTTAGTAATAAAATTAATTATTTAATTACTCATTAATTTTTAGTATTTTTTTTTGTATATAATATGTACTACTAATAGCCATACAATGCAATTGTTAGTAATTAAAATATTAAAATTATTTTCTATATAAATAGTAATTACAAAATAATTATAAAAATTATAAAATGATATTATTTACTGCATTAAAAACAATGTTATTTATACAGTAATAAGTGGTTTATTGTTGTTTAATTATATTATAAAAAAATATTATTATTATTATTTATAACATTATTCATATTAATAAATCTATTAAAAAAATTAATTAATTAAATTATAAATTTTATTTAATAGTAGTTATTTATATTCATTAAAAATAATTATGTTTTGTTAAATAAATTTCATATAAAATACTAAATTTATTGATATTTTAAAATAAATGTATTAACAAAATAAATAATTATTTTGTATTAAAATAATATAAATATTTTAAATATTATAATTAATTAATTTCTAATAATAATAATAAACTTAAATATAAATTAATTGATTAAAATAACTAAAAATAATAATATATATAATAAATAAATTTAAAAAGTTAATTAAAAACAATTTATTATTATTTTTTAAAATATTATACAATTAAATTAAATTTTCAAAAAAAAATATTTTTATAATAAATAATTTTTTTTAAAAATACAAACAAAAAATTATATCAATTAACTAATAGTTTATTATTAATTATAATAATAATAATAATAATAATACTCTAAAACACTAAATACATAGTCAGACCCCTCTTAACCCTCCAGACGTCGGATTTCGTCTTTAATCTCCTGTTCCAGTCGTTTGACTACCAGTTCCAAGTCGGCCAACAATTGACGGCCAATCTCTGACTGGGGATTCAATTTTTCTACCTGTGATTCAATAGTTTCGACCTCCTGTTCCAATAAGACCAACAGTTTTGCTAAATCTTTTTTGCCGGCTTTTGTCAGCTTCTGGATCTCTGCCTCTAACTCCTGCTTCAACTCATTCAATAGCTTCTGGAGATCGTCTTTGACATCGAAAACAACGGGCGGATCGATACGTCTGATCTCGTCTTTAATCTCCTGTTCCAACTTCTGGACAACTTTTTCTAACTCAGCCAACAATTGTTTGCCGATTTCAGTCTCGTCTTTAATCTCCTGTTCCAACTTCTGGACAACTTTTTCTAACTCAGCCAACAATTGTTTGCCGATTTCAGTCTTGGGATCAATTGTACGGATCTTTGATTCGATGGTTTCGACCTCTGTTTCCAACAATTGAAGCTCTTTTGCTAACTCTTTTTTGCCGGATTTTGTCAGCTTCTCTATCTCTGCCTCCAACTCGGCCCTCAACTTATTCAATAGGTTCTGGAGGTCATCCTTGACGTCACTAACAACTGGTGGATCAATACGTCTGATCTCGTCTTTGATCTCCTGTTCCAACTTCTGGACGACTTTTTCCAATTCAGCCAACAATTGTTTACCGATTTCAGTCTTGGGATCAATTGTACGGATCTTTGATTCAATGGTTTCGACCTCTGTTTCTAACAGTTGCAGCTCTTTTGCTAACTCTTTTTTACCAGATTTTGTCAGCTTCTCTATCTCTGCCTCCAATTCCTGCTTCAACTTATTCAATAGGTTCTGGAGGTCATCCTTGACGTCACTAACAAATGGTGGGTCAATGCGTCTGATCTCGTCTTTGATCTCCTGTTCCAACTTCTGGACGACTTTTTCCAATTCAGCCAACAATTGTTTGCCGATCTCTGTCTGTGGGTTCAGTTTTTCTACCTGTGCTTCAATGGTTTCGATCTGTTGTTCCAACAGTTGTAGCTCTTTTGCTAACTCTTTTTTACCCGATTTTGTCAGCTTCTCTATCTCTGCCTCCAACTCGGCCCTCAACTTATTCAATAGGTTCTGGAGGTCATCCTTGACGTCACCAACAAATGGTGGATCAATACGTCTGATCTCGTCTTTGATCTCCTGTTCCAATTTCTGGACGACTTTTTCCAATTCAGCCAACAATTGTTTACCGATTTCAGTCTTGGGATCAATTGTACGGATCTTTGATTCAATGGTTTCGACCTCTGTTTCTAACAGTTGCAGCTCTTTTGCTAACTCTTTTTTACCCGATTTTGTCAGCTTCTCTATCTCTGCCTCCAACTCGGCCCTCAACTTATTCAATAGGTTCTGGAGATCGTCTTTAACGTCACCAACAACTGGTGGGTCTAAGCGTTTGATCTCGTCTTTGATCTCCTGTTCCAACTTCTGGACGACTTTTTCCAATTCAGCCAACAATTGTTTGCCGATCTCTGTCTGTGGGTTCAGTTTTTCTACCTGTGCTTCAATGGTTTCGATCTGTTGTTCCAATACTAGTAGTTCTTTAGCTAAATCTTTTTTACCGGCTTTAGTCAGCTTCTTGATCTCTGCCTCTAACAAGACTTTTAACTCATTCAATAGCTTCTGGAGATCATCTTTGACGTCAGCAACAAATGGTGGGTCTATGCGTCTGATCTCGTCTTTGATCTCCTGTTCCAACTTCTGGACTACTTTTTCCAATTCAGCCAATAATTGTTTGCCGATCTCTGTCTGTGGGTTCAGTTTTTCTACCTGTGCTTCAATGGTTTCGATCTGTTGTTCCAACAGTTGTAGCTCTTTTGCTAACTCTTTTTTGCCGGATTTTGTCAGCTTCTCTATCTCTGCCTCCAACTCCTGTCTCAACTTATTCAATAGGTTCTGGAGATCGTCTTTGACATCGAAAACAACTGGCGGATCGATACGTCTGATCTCGTCTTTGATCTCTTGTTCCAACTTCTGGACAACTTTTTCCAATTCAGCCAACAATTGTTTGCCGATTTCAGTCTTGGGATCAATTGTACGGATCTTTGATTCGATGGTTTCGACCTCTGTTTCCAATAGTTGGAGCTCTTTTGCTAACTCTTTTTTGCCGGCTTTAGTCAGCTTCTGGATCTCTGCATCTAACAAGACTTTTAACTCATTCAATAGCTTCTGGAGATCATCCTTGACGTCACCAACAAATGGTGGGTCAATGCGTCTGATCTCGTCTTTGATCTCCTGTTCTAACTTTTGCACCACTTTTTCTAACTCAGCCAACAATTGTTTGCCGATTTCAGTCTTGGGATCAATTGTACGGATCTTTGACTCAAGAGTTTCGACCTCTGTTTCCAACAATTGAAGTTCTTTTGCTAACTCTTTTTTACCGGATTTTGTCAGCTTCTCTATCTCTGCCTCCAACTCCTGCTTCAACTTATTCAATAGCTTCTGGAGATCATCCTTGACGTCACCAACAACTGGTGGATCTAAACGTTTGATCTCGTCTTTGATCTCCTGTTCCAACTTCTGGACAACTTTTTCCAATTCAGCCAACAATTGTTTGCCAATCTCTGTCTGTGGATTCAGTTTTTCTACCTGTGCTTCAATTGATTCGATCTGTTGTTCCAATACTAGTAGTTCTTTAGCTAAATCTTTTTTGCCGGCTTTAGTCAGCTTCTGGATCTCGGCCTCCAATTCCTGCTTCAAGTCGTCCAACAGTTTCTGTAGATCTTCTTTCGGATCGCCAATCGATAGGCGAAACGATTCCACAACTGATTGATTGATTGAAAAAAATTTATTTATTAATTAATTAATAAAAAATAAATAAATTTTAATTATTTTAATTTCAATTCAATAGATACTTACTTAAAGCGCCCGTAAGGCATAACAGAGCTATAGCTATGACTTTCATGGTTTACTAACTAATTTCTAATTTAATAATAATAATAATACAGTTTTTTTTTGTTTAATATTTTTTTTGTTATATAAAAATAATTATTAATTATTATTGAAACAAAATTACTTACTCTTTATATACTATTTTGTTTTTGTCAGATATAATGTCAAAAAAATCAAATCAATAGTTATAAATGTAAGTTATTATGCAATAAAAACCTATTTAAGTATTGTTAAAGTATAGGTTAAAGATATGATAATAATAATAATAATAATAAGACTTTGAAACTTATCTTTCAAAAAAATATATATAATATCTATTTATTTATTAATAGTATTATTATTATAATTATTATACTGTACAGTATTTCATGACTTCAATTGATGTTATTATTATAATATTATTAGTATTTTTGTTGAACAAAAAAAAATCCTGAAATTGATTACATGTTTTAGTATTGATATTACAATTATTATTAGTTTTTTTTTTATATGTATACCTTTGATACCTATAGAAACTTTAGACTTTATTTTTTTGTTATCAATTTTCTAAAAGTACTTAAAAATCAGTACTATTTCAATACTAAATTACAAAAATATAGTATAATATATACCGTATTTATATATAATGAGTATATATTTTGCTAGTAATGTGAAAAAAATACTTAATAATTGATTAAGTTATTAATAAATGGAATTTTACCCCAGTTCATTATAATTATTAGTTTTATTATTTAAAAATAATAATATTACAGTATAATGACTACTTTGTGTGTATTATTGCATGCTATTGGCTGTTGAGTACGGCCCACATGTAGTATATACTGCTACCCCTTCAGCCTATATAAAGGCCAACAGTTCCCAACTCTGGACCTCTCGCTGAGATCTCTCTCGATTATAGAGTCCGAGATTTTGTATTAGTTTTTAGTTGAGTTTCAGACTCTGTTCCCTTATTTTAATGTATTATTAGTTTATGTTATATCAGTTCAATAAAACTATTATATAATCACATTAAATAGTGAATTAACTTTAATTTTGTGTCAACAAATTCAACACTACAACCATACGTGTGCTAGCGGTAGGGTAGCGCCCGAGCCCTGAAAGGTGTAGTTTCGGCCCAAGTGGTGCCCGAAAACCATCCGGTCATTGGCGGTCGTCCCGCGAGTAGCTCTTCGCTAATGATTGGTTGGGCAGCCCGGACGGACTCAAAAGTCGCTCATCCGAGTCGATTCACGCGCGCGTATTATATTGTATATGGTGGAGGTCGCAAAGGTAACGATTTTTGAACCTCTAGTTTCAAACTTTCATACGGTATGTCCCAAAACTTTTATTATTGTTTTGCTGTTTGCGCTAAATAAACTCAATGTATTTGTGCTATATTTTATTTGTATTGTCTGTTGCGCTAACTGTACTAAATGTACTGTATGAATGCTATTGCTATAATAGAAATAACAGTAATATTATTGCCGATAATGATAGTGGCTTTTCAAATGCATAATTTGGGACATAAGTAACAAAATAGTAATAAAATAAAAGTTTTGCTAAAAATATATTAAAAAATAATAATTATTAATATATTATACTAATATATATTACATCTGATTTAAATATTTGGCATAAAAAAATAATTATTGAAAAATTTTTATGGGTCTTATTTTTTCTAAAATTTTCAAAAATCCTATTAGTACTGAAAACTATTTGAATAGGGATTATATTTCTCAGTCTGTAACCGTAAATCCCACATATGGTTTAGTTGAAATAGATATAAAGGAGAGCAAATATAATAAGCAAATGGATTTATATGTTAAAATTGTTTAAAACAGTACTTACAGTAATAAAATTATGTTTAACTACTTATGTAAAATGCAAAAAAAGCAATAAAAATAAGCAATAAAAATACTTCTCTTTCTCTCTTGTTAACAACTGTTTAAAAAAAAATAGACATAAAATTTAAAGATATATTTATATATATATCTATTACACAAATTTATTGTCTAACAAAATCGGTTCAAAAGTAATTAAAAAAATGCCTAAGCGTAAAGCCAGGTCTCGTAATAATTCACAAGCGCGTAATTTAAGCACTACAGACATAAGTGTCGAAAATGACACGCAAATTGCGTATAACTCTGACGGTATCAATACACCAAACCTAACACTTGTTAGCGACCCAATGCTTACAAATACTAATATAATAGAACAGGCAATAAATATCTCTAACGACCCTAACACTAATTTAGCTATAAATCCCACATTACAAATAAATTCTCAAACTAATTCTCAAAATGATTGCCCTGTAAATGTCCCAAATAACACAACTAATCCTGAAAATGACCCAAACATTGTATCAAACATTACAAGCAATAGTATAACTAACAGCGCTAATGTCCAGACTAAAGATAACCACATGTTAGGTAATAAAGGCAAACATGAGTTTAAATCAATTATTACTGTCGGCTCAGTAACCCCACAAAATTTTGATGGGAATGGTGATATTGATGACTGGATAGATCACTTCACTTATATTGCTAAATGTAATAATTGGAGCAATGATATGAAAAAGTTGAGACTCCTGTACATTTAAAGGGTATGGCTGAAATGTGGTACAGAAATTTTGCTAAACTAAAAACAGATGCCACATATGAAAATAAATTGTCATTAGATGACATTTATGATGGTCTAAAAAGCGCTTTCAGACCAAAAAATTACAGATCTATACAACAGTCAAAGCTAATAACCAGACACCAGCAGCTCAATGAGTCAGTCAGTAATTATCACTATGATATAATTAGACTTTGTGAAAAACTTAATCCTCTTATGGATGAACAGGAAAAGCTTACACATGTTATGCGGGGACTTAGATCTGGAATGTTAGAAAAAGTGCTTGTGTTTGAGCCCAAAGATTGTATTGATTTATTAGGCAAATTAAAATCAATAGAGGAGTCCGAAGTTTTATCTCAACAAAGACCCACTTATAACTACTTATTAATGAACAGCACTAAAACTAATGAACTGTCCCAATCTGAGCCTATATCTGAGACTCGATTTGGGACTCGAACTGAGCCAAAGAATAGTGAATCTCAAAATGGTAGCCCTCAGTCCCAAAGCGATATTTCTAAGCTATGCTCAATGTTTGAGGAGTTTATGAATAAAAATCAATATCGTAATAAAGATAACCGATATAATAACCGATTTCAATACAGACGGACTGTTGATGGTAGACCTGTTTGTGATTATTGTCACAAACCCGGCCATTTTGCTCGGTCATGTTACCGCAGACAAAATAATACTTTATCAAAGTCACCATCAAATGCTATACTACCTGCTCCCGAGTGTGCATCGGCAGATCAGGGAAACTAGTAGAGGCGACGGTTGCTACAGAAGCCGTCGCCGAAATGCCTTGTTTATTAATTAATATTAAAGATAATCACATAATTATTGACGGCTTTGTAGATAACTTTCTTTTTTCAATGATTATTGACACGGGTTCAGCCCGATCAATAATGAGTGTAAATACTTTCGATAAACTCAAAAATAAATACTTAATAAAATGTTCACATCCTATATTAAGATTAGCAAATAATACAACAATGGTACCACTCGGACAGTTTAAGACAACTGTTACTATTGATAATAATAAAACTGAAATAAATTTCCTTATCTATAATGATGTACCTTTTAATATACTATTAGGTCTTGATTTTTGTATTTTATCAAAACTTAATTTAGATTTTACTTTATTTGAGTTACCATTTTATAATCATACATATATAACCAACGACTATGTAAATAATACGAATCATAAACTAAAAGTTGTCTCAAACAGTAATGTCCCTAAATTCAATGGGATATGGGTTGAAGTCTCAGGCATTGACTTAACAGACAATGATATATATTTTGAGCCCAGTATAGAGTTACAAATTAAAACTAATTTAATGATGTTTAAGTCTTTACTTAAATTTGAAAATGATAAACTGTATGTGTTTATAGTTAACCCTTCACATTATGATGTATTATTGCGTATAAACACAACAGTAGGTTTGGCTCAATTTGCGACTGTCCCAGAAAAGTTTGAGACTGGTCATGTACTCCCGGTAAATACTGAAGAAAAAATAACTGAAAATTTTACATTTAATATAAATGTAAATCTTAATGTTGAACAACAGAAACAAATTAAAGAGTTTTTGAATAGTTTTAAAAGCATTTTTGCTACTAATATAAGTGACTTAACCCAAACTAATTTAATTACTCATAAAATTAATCTAAATACTGATGAACCAATACATGTCCCACCTTATAGAGTTAGTCCTAAAGAGTCCGAAATAATGCAGAAACAAATTAATGATATGCTCGACGCAGGGGTAATACGAGAGTCATGTAGTCCATTTGCATCACCCGTAGTAATGGTCAAAAAATCAAACGGTCAGTTGAGATTCTGTTGCGATTATCGCCAATTAAATAAAATAACAGAAAAAGACTGTTATCCATTGCCACGTATAAATGATTTAATGACCGCGTTTACAGGCTCAAAATATTTTACTACTCTTGATTTTATCTCTGGTTTTTGGCAAATAAAAATTGAACCAAATGACATACCTAAAACAGCCTTTATAACACCAAATGCTATGTATGAATGGAATGTCATGCCATTCGGTCTTACCAATGCACCGGCAACATTCCAGAGAATGGTTAATAATCTAATAGCTGGTCTAAGATATAATATCTGTGTCGCATATTTAGATGATATAATAATATATGCGCCTGATTTTCAGACACACTTAGATAGAGTGTCCCAAGTGTTTGAGCGTATAAAATCTGCAAATTTGAGACTACAAGTCTCAAAATGTTATTTCGCTGAAAATAAAATAAAATTTTTAGGATGGATAGTTTCGGACACAGGTATCAAACCAGATTCAGACAAAATAATAGCAATCGAAAAATTCAAAACTCCAGAGTCTCCTAAAGAGATAAAGCGGTTTCTAGGAATGTGTAGTTACTATAGAGACTGTATGGAAAACTTTAGCAAATTAGCCTCACCTCTATTGCTATTATTACGTAAAAATGCTATATGGAAATGGACAGATATTGAGCAAAAATCTGTCACAGACTTAAAACAAGCATTAATAACAGCACCTATTCTCGTGCATTATGA